CAAATACAAATACAAATACAAACTCCAAAGCCCCGATAGACTTTGCATGTCCCGACAGGATACATGGGCAGTTTCGGGTGTTCAGCCCTGGTTACTAAGGAATCATAAGGAACCTGCTCTGATTGCATTCAGAAACATGGGAAGGGTCTACCCACCCGGGAGCTGCCCGCTTGGCAGGTTTTGTGATTGTGGACCTCGAAGAAAGCCTCCTCGCGACAGCTCAACGTTGCTGCTGAGAGAAACACAACGGCGGTGCTCACCTTTCAATTAGATCCAGGCGCAGTTGGTGTCCGTAGGGCAAGGTAATCATTTCCAAGCCTGATTTCACTCCCATCATCCTCCTCGTCTCTTCGGAGACTTCAAGTATCCTAGCAACCTGACGGAGGCAAATGTGGAAACAAAAGAAAGCCGCGTGGAATCAAAGCGGGCCCAGACATTAACCCGCGCGTTGAAGGGGAAGGGAGCCCAGGCGCTCTGCAAGCCCTTTTCTGTGAAGGGGACACCCCCCTCCCTTTGTTGATGGAATTGCCTCCAAGGCCATTCCTAAAAGGAGTCATTGTTGATGCATCTCGAGCTGCAAGTTTTATCCCCCTCCGCTGGAAGACCTTTCGAGATTTAAAAAGGCTTCCTTTGCCACTTTCTGCACAATGTAGAATTTTAACAAAGATTTGTGGTCTGGCCAAACCAGCTTTTGTCCTAGTCAGCCTTTGCTTCTTGGCTCCTGCTTCCCCCCCCCACCTGCCATGGCCCACCACTCATTGACAATAACGCCAGTTCTGTTCCAGGGTTTACTAATGAAACACTGAAAGTTTTAGGAAAACCCACGAATGTTCTGAATGGGAGAGAAGAACAAACGAAGACAGGGGCTTGTTATTTCAAGCAGCCTTTTCTTCGCCGACAAAAGGGACACAATTATCGAACAGTTTGAGTTGGTTTCTGTGGGCCAGGGATGTTTGGGGTGTGTGTGTGCGTGTGAAAGAGTGAAGCTCCCCCTCTTTTTTAAAAAAAATATTTGTCAACATCATGCTCACAAAAAAGATCAGGCTGCACCCATTGTGAATTGGCTCGTCTGAGTTGTCCTCCCAAGTTAGCTTCTTGGCCCAGGCTTAATCCCTGCTTATCTAACCCATTGCCTTGATGATAGTTCTTCCTGCTGTCTTCAAAGCCATCCCCTCTGGCCTCCCCATACACACACACACACACACACACACATACAAAGGGGCAGAGCTTTGATCACACAATCCCAACCGCCACCTTGACACTTCCTGCAGATGCCTCAAATCTGAGCTGGGATTTGTCAATCCTGCACTATCAGGCATAAGGGCAGCTTTAATCTTCTTGCCTCCTCCTGCCAGAGACAGCTCTTCTACCCAATGACCTACTGAACTCAGCAGCTGTGTCCTTCCCCCTCCCCGTGAGCTGATACTTAAGGGAGACAGCTTTGCCCTCCATCCTGTAGGGGTGAACTCCCCCCCCCTCCCCAAATGATCGTTCTGTTATCACTAGTATTCCTAACTGTGTCAATGCTTCAGGAAGGAAAAAAAAAGAATAGTTTGTTGTAGAAACCCCCCCAAACCAGTGTTAAATAAGCTGATGAATTAATTCCCCCAGGGGATGGTGGTTAAATTTGACTCCAAATTGATGAAGCCATGCACAAGTTAAACTAATTCCAGGCAATCTCAGTTTGTGACGTGGAAACATCTACTACACCCAATCAATTAATCTATTTCCCTTAGCCCAAGAAAAAAAGCGTTGGAGAGAAAGTGTACCAGGATACAGTAAGCCTCCCCATTACAAAACCCACTGCCAAGACCTGGGATTACAGAACATATACCCAAATATTAATGAGCTACTGTGGGATTGGTCCTTGGGTTCACTGACAAATGCACGCATGACAAAAGCGCGCTGACAAAACCGCGGCGAGAAAACCGCGATGTTGAAATCGCGCCCACAACAGCGCGCCGACAAAAGCGCGCCTTCAACAAACAACGTGAAAACAACGTAATAACCCTAAACCTAACCCTGAACCTAACCCTGAACCTAACCCTAACCCTTATCGCGGTTTTGTGGGCGCAGTTTTGTCGGTGCGCTGTTGTGGGCGCGATTTCGACGTCGCGGTTTAGGCGGCGCGCTTTTGTCATGCGCGCATTTGTCAGGTCACGGGTCCTTGCTCTTCTGTTCACTTATGTTTTAGCCTGAGTGGGCTTCTACTCCCAGCAGCTCTTCTGAGAAGAGGAGTGAATGGTAGGAGGGAATCAGATGTGGGTTCCTACCAGTTCGCACCTATTCGGTAGAACCGGTTCGTCAAATCTACCGAACCAGTTAGAAGAGGTTC